TGTGGGGATCTTGCACTGATCAATGAATGCCCATTTAGTTGTGGTTCAAAGGAGGAGAGACAAAGGGAACAGCTCACTCCACCATGTTGCTGATGTCACTTCCTTCCAAATCCTTTTGAAGGATTTTGAAGCTGTGTTCACTGATGTCCCCCATGACAATGCTGGCATGTCATAAGTGTGCAATAACACTTGTTAATTGAGTCTATGAATAAAAGACTGAATGTCCGTCTGCTCAGAGCCATATAATGATATACACATGCACACACACCTGGGTGGCATTTAAGACTGATACAGAGGGATGAATAGGACTTGGAAAGGTAGGAATGGGGGGGGAAGGGTGTTTCAGGAGAAGGAACTTCACATTCAAAGTCTCAGAGTCACAGAGGCCATAACATGGCTGGGGGGACATTGCCAGATGCAGGGAGAGGGAGAAATCTGGGGAAAAGTCCAGAATGGGTCAGACTATCCCAGGCCTTCAAATCCAGCCTGTGGTGTTTGCAGCTTGGTCTCTGGCTATGGAGACAACACACAGATGTCCCCACTAAGCAAGACGTGGACAATGATGATCGCTGGAAACACATTCTGGAGGCCTGTGTTGAGGAGAAAGATGTAGGTGGGAGGTGAGGTGGGTTCAGAGACCCAGGGAAGAGATGAGGCCCCAAAAATGACCAGGAAAAGAAGAGGAGGAGATGGGCAGGAAGATGAGCTGTGATCAGGGAGGAGGATGTACAAGACTTCTTGATTTTTTGGATTGGAAGTAAGGAGGGAAGGAAAGTGGAGAATTACACCTCAGTTCTGGCCTTAGAGATGGGGGCATCAGTGTCATCACTGTGACAGGGAACCCAGCAGAGAAGTAGATTTGGGGAAGAAGATGGAAGCTCAGATTTGGCATGCCGACTGGAGCAATCCTGGAGGCCATGCTGGGGGAGGTGTGTGGTAGGAATTTGGGTGGTGAGACACCAGTGTCACTTACCTGAGGGATTAACCCAGGATGGTGTTTGCATTCTCCATGCCTTGTGTGGGCCTTGTTGCCTTCCTCCTGTGGAACCTCTTTCTGAGAAAAGAGACCAGGGTCTTTCAGTCTGTTGGGATCAGGTGGCAGGGGGCAGAAGCTCACCTTTTCCTCCCTGTTCAGGGGAAGGAGGGGTGACTGAGGTGGAAGAGGGCAGGTCTGGCTCCACAGTACTTGTGTCTTGAGGACACAGGTACCTCCCATCCTGGACACTCAGCCAATGGGCATGATGGCTATCCTTGTGGTTCCCTCACCCCCACCCCACCCCCATCAGCCTCCTGCCTGCTCTGACCCCTGACACTTTGGGCCCCTCCACCACTGGTTCTGGGACTCAGCCACATTCCCTTCACACTCCCAACAACTCCCCTTGCCCTGGGACAATGCTCACATGAGGAAGATGAGGCAGAAGAGGAGAAGCAGGGTCTTCACAGCCACTTCCCCGATGGTCACCAGAACCACCTCTGCCGCAGGCCCTGATCTCCCTGCAGTAAAGTGGACAAAGACAGATTCACCTGCCCCACCACAATCCTGTGTCCTTCTGCTCCCTGTAGGACTCTGGACATTGGTTCTCCAGGCCCTCCTGCATTACTGGATGTGGAACCACCTATGCTGGGCCTCACCCCACCCCACGTTCTGACCTTCCAGCATTTTGACAGAGAAAAAAATGTGTAAGTTCGACTTTATCAAATTTAAAATCTTCTTTATAATAATCAACAACATGATATGGCTCCAAAATAGGCACACAGATCAATGGAACAGAATCGAGACCAAGAAATAAACCCACACATCTATGGACAGCTAGTTTTTGACAAGGGAACCAAGAACATATAATAGAGAAAGAAAAGTCTCCTCAATAAATGATGTTAGGACAATTGGACAGCCACATGCAAAAGAATGGAAGTAGACCATTATATTACACTATACACAAAAATGAACTCAAAATCTACTCAAGACTTGAGTGCAATACCTGAAACCATAAAACCCCTATGAGGACACATAGGCATTATGCTCTTCAAAATTGGTCTTAGCAGTATCTTTTTCAACACCTTGTCCCTCCAGGCAAAGGAAACAAAAGAAAAAATAAGCAAATGGGACTACATAAAACTAAAAAGCTTCTGCACAGCAAAAGAAACCATCAGGAACATGAGAAGGCAACTTAACAATTGAGAAGATATTTGCAAATCATCTATTGGATAAGGTATTAATATCCAAAATATAAAAAGAACTCATATAACTCAACAACAAAAAAAGAAACAACCCAATTAAAAATAGGCAAATGATCTGAACAGACATTTTTCCAAAGAAGATAAACAGATAACCAATAGGCAAGTGAAACGATGTTCAACATCACTAATTATGAGGGAAATGCAAATCAAAACTACAATGAGATATCACCTCACTCCCGTCAGAATGGCTATAATTGACAAGACAAGAAATAACAAGTGTTGGAGACAATGTGGAGAAAAGGGAACTCGCATACATTGCTGGTGAGAGTGCAAACTAGTGCAGCCACTATGGAAAACAGTATGAAGATCCCTCAAAAAATTAAAAATAGTACTGTAAGATCCAGCTATCCACTACTTGGTATTTATCCAAATAACTTGAAATCAACAATTCAAGGAGATTTATGCATTTTTATGTTCATTGTGGCATTGTTCACATTAGCCAAGGCACGGAAGGAACTCAATTGCCCAACAACTGATGGATGGATAAAGAAGATGCGGTATATATACACAATGGATTACTGCTCAGCCGTAAAAAAGGATGAAATCTTTCCATTTGTGACAACATGGATGGACCTTGAGAGTATTATGCTAAGTGAAATAGGTCAGACTGAGAGAGTCAAATACCATATGGTTTCACTCATAAGTGGAAGATAAAAACAACAACAGCAAACAAATACATTGATACGGAGATTAGATTTATGGTTACAGGAGGTGAAGGGGGGAGAGAGGAGGGCAAAAGGGGTAATAGGGCACATGTGTATGGTGATGGATGGTGGTTAGTCTTTGGGTGGTGAACATGATGTCTACACAGAAATCGAAATAGGACAATGTACACCTGAAATTTATATAATATTATAAACCAATGTTACCTCAATAAAAAAAATGAAAAACTTTTGCTCATCAATTGACACTACTGAGAAAGTGAAAAGCCAACCCATTTAATGATAGAAAATATTTGGAAATCATAGATTTGATAAGGTTGTAGTATTCAGCATGTATACAGAACTGTTACAGCTCAACAACAAAAAGTCAAACTACTTAATTGAAAAATTAGCAAAGAACTTGAAAAAAATTCTTCAAAGAAGTTTTACAAATGGCCAATAAGTCCACAAAAAAAGTTAAGGACATCATGAGTCATTATGTAAATGCAAATCAAACCCAGGATGGAATATCCCTTCACACCCACTAGCAGGCTATATACTTTTTTAATATTTTTTAATTTTAATTTTTTTATTTATTTTATTTTTTTCCCCCAAAGCCCCAGTAGATAGCTGTATGTCATAGCTGCACATCATTCTAGTTGCTGTATGTGGGACACGGCCTCTGCATGGCTGGACAAGCGGTGTGTCAGTGCGCGCCTGGGATCCGAACCCGGGCCACCAGCAGCGGAGCACGTGCACTTAACCGCTAAGCCATGGGGCCGGCCCTATATTTTTTTTTTATAAAAAGGAAAATAACAATGTTGGTAAGGGCGTGGAGAAATTGGAACCCTCATACATTGCTGGTGGGAATGTAAAATGGTGTTGCCGCTGAGGAAAAGATTCTGGCATTTCCTTAAAAAGTTAAACATCGCATTACCCTGTGACCTAGCAATTCCACTCCTAGGTAGGTATACGCCCAAGAAAACTGAAAACATATGTTTGAACAAAAGTGTGTACACCAGTGTTTATTGCAGAATGATTCATAATAGCCAAAAAGTGGAAACAACCTAAATGTCCATCAACTACTCAATGGATGAACAAAAGGAGGTACATCAATATAGTAAAATATTATTCAGACAAAAAAAGAAAGAATTACTGATACATGCTATATGGATCAAACTTGAATACGTTTTGTGAAGTGAAAGAAGTAAGACACAAAAGGCCATATTTTGCATGATGTCACTTACATGAAACATCCAGAAAAGGCAAATCCATAGAGACAGAAAGCAGAGTAGTGGTTGCAGGGGCTGGAGGAGGGGAGCAAGGGGAGTGACTGTTTCATGCCCACAGGGTTTCTCTTTGGGGGATGAAAATGTTGGATGGATGGAATTAGATACTGGTGATGGTTGGGCAACACTGTGAATGTGCTAAAAGCCAACTATTGTACACTCGAAAAGGGCTCAAGTAGTGATTATACTTTTAGTGAATTTTTCCTCAATAATAAAATAATGCATATAAATAAAAAAAGTATATGGAGTTAATGATTTTCACCTTACTGGCAAAAATCCAAAACTTTCACCCCATACTGGTTTGCTGAAAACACACACTTTCAGCCCTCGATTCTGGGAATGTCAACTTGTCCACCCTCGATGGAGAACAACGTGGCCATATTTCTCAATATAGAAAGAATACATGATCCAGCCATTTTGCTTTTAGCAGTTTGTCCCACAGTCATATATGTACACACACGTGTGAAAGGAGATATGAGATCACTGATTGCAGCATTTCTGTTAGTAGAATAACTTAATGCCACGATTTTTCCACTAGTAGAACATATGTACAGAATCAAAATCCATCCAGCCGTAGAATACTCCACAGTCACCGAGAAGAATGACAGTCTGTACTACTGACATCAAATGACACCTGAGGTCCTTTAGGTGAAGAAACCAAGGCCCAGAGCAGCCTATGGACACTGGTCGCTTCCTGGGAGGGGACTGGGCATCTGAGGACAGACTCTGCTGTGCATTTTGAAGTTTTGGCCAGGTGAATATATTGCCTGTCCAAAAATATGTAACTTACAAACTGTTAGTGGAAAATAAAAAGATGAGGCTGAAGGGGTCATCAGGAGACTGGTGGTAAGGGATATGGAGAGGCAGGCTCTGTCGTGTGAATGCTGCCCTGTTCTCCTTGTGGAGCTGAGAGGGTGGTGGAGAAATCTGAGGAAAGTGAGGGGATACTGGGGACAGCTGCTCACAGAGGCCAGGGGGCTGAGGACGGGAGTGGTCACTGGGTTAACACACAAGGGGGTCTCTGGTCACCACGTTGGGAGCCAGGCTGGTCGTGAGCCAGAAGAGATCCTGTTTCCTATATCTCCTGGGGGGCTCCTTCCTACCTGTGCCGTCCTCTAGGCAGACATTGATAGCTGGGTTCTCTGGAGCACCTAGGATGAGAAGAGGGGATGCCCCCTTCAGTGGGAGGGTGGGATGAGATTAATGTAGGCATCCCTCAACCCCCAGGGGCCACAGAAATGCAGAAGGGACAGGTCTTCTGTCCGTCTAGGTCCTCTACTCAGCCAGGCCTCCAGGATAAAAGAAAAAGTCTCCACAGCCTGGCCTTCCTGCTCCCTCGGGGACCTGGGCCCAGCACTCACAGGAGACGTTGAGCTGGATGGTCCTTTCCACGGTCACACCAGCTGCAGGGAAATTCACCTGACAGGTGAGGTTGGTTCCATGGTCCTGGGGCCGTGGGGTGAGGGTGAGCACTGAGGAGAGGTGGGATCTGGGGCCCAGGGAGGTGAGGGCAGCTGACGTCCAGGAGAAAATGGGGGGCGCGCCCTGCTCACAGGCCCAAGGCACAGAGCAGGTCAGGTTCCCGGGGCGGCCAGACTCCAGGAGCCCTGAACTAAGGATGTCGGGCCTGTGGGTCAGGGCTGGTGAAGAAAGAGAGGAGGTTGGGGCCCCTTGGTGTGATTTCAGCCTGCCCCAGTGTCTTTTCAAGACTGTCCCCACCCCACCCCACCCTCAGGAGGAACAGAACCTTCATTTTTCTATTTCCCATGCCCCACACTCTGGGGCTTTTCCCTGGGCCCCCACCATACCTGTCACATGCAGAGAGAGCATCTTATCTAGATACGAGTGTTTCCTGAAGTATTTCTCCATTCGAAAGAAGTACGTCCCACTGTCCCCCATGTTGACGTCTCTGATGCTCAGGGAGCAGTCGTGGGCCTGGGGGTCTCCGAGGAGGAAGAACCGGCCCTGGGTGTTCTCCTGCAGCTTCTGTTTTGGTTTGTTTGTGGCCACTAGAAGATCATGGTTTCCATCCTCCCCTTTCCTGAACCAAAACACATGGAGGATTCCGAAGGTGGTCCTGGGATAGGAAAATTTGCAGGGCACGAGGACACACAGGCCCTCCTGCACTGTCACAGACTCCGGTAGTTCCAGCTGGTAGCTCTGATCCTGAGCCGTGGGCACTGGGGAGAGAGAGAACCACAGCCTGGAGCTCAGCTGCCTCCCCAGAGTGGGGTCCCCTCTCCCCTCGACCACTCACCTCCCCATAGCAGAGGCAGCAGAAGCAGCTGCAGTGGCATTATCTCCTCTTGCCCTGGGACGGTCCACCTTCTGGGGTCTCTCTGAGAGAGAAGAGAAAGCTGCAGATATGGGATGTGAGAGGAAGCTGAGACAGGAAGCCTGTGGTAAGAAGAAAGGGCCACATGCCCAGAAGAGGAAACTTCAGACTCACGGAATCAGCGTGACTGCCCATTTGAGATCATCCAGGCCCATTTCTGCATGTGGCAGGTGAACCCTGAAGCTCAGACAGGCAAGGGGCTTGCCCAAGTGAGGCACCAAGGAAGGACGAGTGCCCCCAAGTCCTGCCTCCTGGGCTGGTGCATGGTTGTCTCTACTGGGGAAGCAGGTCCCATGTGCTCAGCTCCCAGACTCAAGAGTGCAGGGAGGGCGGCTTCCCATGAGGACAGCTAGGGAAAGCCTTTCTATTTGCCTATCATCAGGCCTGAAAAATCACATATAGGTTTTCTTCTATGGGCTGAACTCCTCCGATGGTTCTATCCACAGACCTACCACCTCCTAGGAAGGTCACCTGGCATGTAGGGCTGTGTCATGACCTTGGGAACCTAACATATGGGTGAGGACTTAGGAATTGGAGGAGGGCTTGGGACCTTGGGCGAGAGACGTATCCTCTTACACAAGCCGCTGACATAGTGCTGTTTAGACTCCAAGATGGTTGAACTTCGAGTGAATGGGATATAGATTTGAGGTATCTGGTACAAGCTGGAGAGGAGAAAAAGACTCAGACCCCAGAGTGTGATCCCGGGGGTAACCTCAACATCGGCCACACATCTCTCAGCCCCATGGTCCTGATCACCTCCCCTACCCTCCAGATAAGGAGCAGATGTGTTCCTGTCTCTGGGATTCTCTCCTGGGGACCCTTGGCTTCTTGTCACCTTCAGAGACAGTGCCATATATTGAGAGTCATATTTCACAAAATATTTCTCTATCCTATAGTCTTCCCACTTTCCCCCATCTTGGAAAATCTGATGCTCAGAGAGCAACTTTGGGCCCGTGGGTCCCAAGGAGGTTGAGTCAGCCCCAGATTCTCTCTTCCAGATTTGATAGGGTCTCTGGCCTGAGGGGGATTATGGTGTCTGTTGGCCACCTCTAGGATCTGAAGGTGAGTCGATTGGGCTAAAGTCTGTCCAGAAAAATCCATGGGCTGGATTGGAGAATGGGATAGGATGCACAGGCAGGCCCTCCTTCTCCATCACTGACTAAAAGTTACAGACTGTACCTGCAGCATCCCCCAGGGTCCACTGCAGGAAAGAGAGTCTCTGACTGCAGCCTCAGCCAGAAATCTCGTCCTCAGACCTGTTGCCCTCACAGTTGTGGCTGCAGCAGCAGCTGCATCTCTGGGCTGCAGAAGATTGTCTAGATTCCCTTTATACCATCTGATGAGCCTCTCCGAGTTGGGAGGTGGGGGAAGACTGTTGGGTGGCCAGTGAGCTGGGGGCTCTTTCTGATTGAAACGTTTGGTTTCTGCCCCAAAGCTCTCCTTCAACTAGAATATCCCTCTCTCCCTCGGGCCACTGCAGGGGAAGTGAAAGCTGAGCTCTTCTCTCCTGGGACCACAACAGGATGGACTCTTCCTCCCTCCTGTACCCTCAAAAACTGCCTCTCAGTTCCTAAAGACTAACCCCCACTTCCCTCAAGAGAGATGTGGAGTTTGGGGTCTATTTTCCCCAGATAGGTTTCTTGGAGCCTCCCTCATGGGGACAGAGGAGTGAGAGACCAAGACTCTCCTGGGACCGAGTCCTCTCTGTGTGGGACCCACTCCAGGGCTGGAGCTCCCCAGAGGCCTCAGGAAGCATTAGGTGAACTCTTGAATTCTTCTGCATGGAGAGACCGTATGGACAGAGGCTGGGACTGAGCCTGGAGCACTGACTCCAGTGCCAGACTTGGGTGAGCTGTTTGGGTTCAGGGTGAGACAGAACTTGTGACTGGGTCTTTGTTCCTCCTCACATTTCCTGTGAGCACTGCACATACATGTACAGAATATCTCTGCCCATCTTCTCCACAGCTCCTCCAGCCTCTACAAATCTCCTCCATGAGGTGACCACTTAATTCCCCTCTCCTTACTTATTTCCCTCTTGTAGCCTCTAGGTCTCCCAGTGACAGTGATCCATCTCGCATGTCACAGAACTCTTTCTGCAATATCAGCAAGCTCCCTCGTGTGCCTAACACTTTGAATGTCTTCCATCACTTCCAAAGACAATGCTTCAGTCAGCCTCCTGATGTTTCATTCCTTCATTTATCAGACAGACATTGAGGCATATATATTTTTGTGTGTGTGAGGAAGATCAGCCCTGAGCTCACATCCACGCTAATCCTCCTCTTTTTGCTGAGGAAGACCAGCTCTGAGCTAACATCTATTGTAAATCCTCCTCCTTTTTTTCCCCAAAGCCCCAGTAGATAGTTGTATGTCATAGTTGCACATCCTTCTAGTTGCTGTATGTGGGACGTGGCCTCAGCACGGCCGGAGAAGCGGGACATCGGTGTGCGCCTGGGATCCGAACCCGAGCCGCCAGGAGCGGAGGGCGCGCACTTAACCGCTCAGCCACGGGGCCCGCCCAAGGCATATTTTTAAAAAATCATTCAGGCTGTGGCACAGAGCTAGAGACAGTTATGGACCATGAGTCTTGTTTTCTGTCCTCCAGAGCTCCATTTGGGTGCCAGCTAGAAAATGAGTGAGAGAAAGAGAAGAGAGGCAGAGGGTGGAGGAGAGAGAGCGAGAGGGAGAGAGACAGATAGAGAGACAGAGATATAAGCGTGTTGGGGAGACAGGCCCTTCCTGTCTGTAAGAGGGGGAAGAGGGGAGATGGAGGCCTTCCCCAAACAGGGAGGGATTTTTTTAAGAGATTAGAGAGGGAGTCTCCCCTGAGAGGCAAGAAACCAAGGGCATGGGAGAAGTCCCTCTCTTGGAATTTAAGACCCTATTTCTTGGGGGTGGCAAGCAGTCTGAGAAGGGCCGACCTAGATTTTGAGGCCCTTACCCTGTTCATATCCAGTCCCCAAGCCTCTCCCAGTTCTCCCATCAGGGTCAGCCCACAGGGTGAGGGGCGCTCTTTTCAGCCAAGACACAGTCTGGTCC